TTGTCAAAACTTTGAAGAATATGGGAGGGCAAATTTTGGGGTACAATAGTTAGTAATTAGGGTTTGTATGGAAAGATAAAACCAACAAGTAGATAACCCTAATTCAAGATAAACAAGCATGTAAATAAAACACATTTGCACACTTACACCCTTAGGGTAATTCCACTTGTTGCCTTACAAAAATGGCCATGTTATGCACGTGGGATGTCTTAGCACAAACAAATAAAAAATACAAGATCATAGCCCCTCGATGACGCTATCTGTTGTATCCAAAAATTTGCCCTCTCATTTATCAAGATTTCCCCTCACAAGACTCTTTGGACTCCAGACAGGATTAGGGTTTGCTCTGCTCAAGACATCTCCTTGCACTGTTGACCCGGAATTAGGGTTTGAGTTTGCACAGGGATTTTTAGACTTTCAATGCCTCTTATGACTTTCATACTTCATGTTGGACTTATAAGATTGCCCATACCAAGTTTCAAGCTTTGAATCAAATTTTTGCCCAGTCAATTGGACAGTTGATCTAAAAATCAACTGTATTGGGGAAAAGTCAACTGTGGCCAATTTACAGTCAAACCTCATAATTTTTTATCCACATCAACATTATAGACTCATATGAACCATTTTATCAAGTTTGGACCACAACTCCTCAAGAAATTTGATCAGATAATCAAAAGGGCAAAATGGTGATTTTTAGGGTTTTGACTGCAGAAGGGCAATTTCTGATTTTTCACCTAGCCAATGGCAAATTGGGTTCAAGCATGGTTTCAAGGACTCAATTTAATCATCTTGACCTAATCACAAGGTTCAAAAGATCTCAATTGCATTGGATTGACAAATGAATTTTTCAGTCAACTGATCAAAAATCAACTGTACACTGAAAAGTCAAACTTTGACTTTTGGTCAAAATCAAGTGCCAAGGGTCATTTTTCATCAAGATGTGTCAAAACATAAAAGTTGTTCACCAAGAAACCTAATTTTGAAAATTAGGGTTTAAAATGGAAAATTTTCATAACTTAGAAATTTTCTAAGTTATGAAAATTTCTTATTTTTTCCCAACTTTTTCACCATGATGCAATTGGATTAAAACAAAACTTCCAACATGAAATTTGTAGTCCTACACAAAATCTATAACTTTTATTCACAAAGTTTTCCCAAAAGATGCTTTGATCTCAAGTTATGATTTTGTGAATAGGGGTCCAAAAACTTTCTAACTTAGTGAAATTTTGCCCTAGTTTAGGCAGGATTTTGACCTATCTTCATGGAAATTTTTCACATAGTTCCAATTGGAATCTCAAAATTCATTTCAAATATGGATTGTATAGCATGTTACAAGCTTTCCAAAATGTCCAAGAAATCTCCAAGATCATTTGTGGTTAGGGAGAATCGAAGGATTGAAAATGACAAATCATCACTTTTGGCCAAGGCATTTTGCACATTGATACAACTTGCAAATCTGTCCAAACCTTGATTGTACTTGTTTTACATGCCTTAATCCTTTCCACACTCATAAATTAAATGCAAACAGATTGGATTGAGGCTTTGTTATGATCTATGAAGCATTATACAAAGGATTAATCCATTTTTGGCAAAAAGATAACAATGCCATTTACATAAAGCATGCTTTATGTCAAATTGTTTATCTTGAGCCATACACTAAGCCTTTTGCTGCAAACAAAGTTCCCTAATATCAGGCAAAGTTCACCAACTATGTGCAGGCTTTGAGCTAGCCTGTACAGGCCATAGCATTGTCAATTCCACCTTTTACTTCAAAAACAAGCAATTGTGCAAAAGATCCACATCTCTTGTATCTGTTAAAACCAAAGCTTGTGAACATTTGAAACAAGTTCAGCATAACATATCAAGCCTAGAAACACGAGCTACAAGCCTTCAAACACCCTTAAACACCAAAACACCAAGTTCTTGTCAAAACAGGGCAGGTTCTGCAAATCAGAAGCCAAAACCAAATCCACTTGTGCGTTTTGCTTGAAACCAGTTCCAACACACTCCATACAACATACCTAAACTATCCCAACCATTCTCAAGCCACTGTAACTCCATTTTCACACTTCACCATTTTTGCTTTGAAGCTTTGCAGGTTGAGTTCTACAAGCATATTCAAGCCATTTCAAAGCAAGCCAAGCATTGGGAAAGGTTGAGTGAACCTCAGGCAAGCTAACACGACCCTCGGGCCTCATCAAAAACCCCTACATTGCCATATCCAAACTTGGTTGAAGCAGGTAATTTTCAAACTTCTATCTCCTTATTTAGGAATCATTAGGCTTAGGTTTGTGAAGCAAAAATGTAGTCCTCATTGTCCTTAAGCTGTACATATGCATAGAATTCATTTATGTTAACTGAGCTAGGAGTATTTGATAGTTGAACTTACTGAAAAAAACTAGGTCAAGATTTAGGGCCAATAAAATTCTCTCTGGTCTTTGAGAGTTAGATCAAGTTTTTTACATGGTTAGAATCGTGTGATCAAGAGCTATAACTTTCATGTTGCAAGTTTTTATTTTTAAGCACAAATGCAGGAGTTACCAGTTTGAACCATGGCGCGTGTTTTGCTTGTCTCAAGGACAGGGATGAAGGAACCTTGGGCTGGGCTTGGTTGTTCTCACTATTGACACCCCCTGCTTGCTCCTTGCACCCCCTTGGCCCATTTGATTATTTTTGTATATTTTTTTATTTCTTTTACATTTCTGACTTTTTATTTATTTTTCTAAATATTAAAAATTACCAAAAATATTCTCTTAATTTTTCACCTTTTATTTTATTATTTTTATTATTTTTTGGACATAGAAATAGTTTATTAAATAATATATACTTTTATTTTCTTAAATAAAAAACTTGTACATATTACAAAAATATCATATATTTTTATTTTTATTATTTATACACTTAAATAATATTTTCTCACACATTTTAATTTTTAACACTTTTTATATATTTTTATTTATTTTTCTTGTACATTAATAAATAATATAGAATATATGTTTTCTTAAAACAAAATTAGGGTTTCCACCCTTTCCAAAAAATAATCATTTTTTATTTTCCCTTATTTTTAGGACATTAAATAATTTATTTTACATACATAAAATAAATACAAAAACATTTTGAATGTTTATATTTATTTGCATATTTAAATAATTGTCCATTTATTTATTTGTGCAATATTTCAATTTGGTTGTAATAATAGTTTTAGGGTTTATTTTTGAGCGAATACCCCCTATTCAAACTTGTATCCCCCTCTCCATAATAATGTTGTAATAGTCCTAGATTTACTTTTACGCATTTTATTGCTTTCAAATATGCATGATAGTAAGATTAGGGTTTATATGCAAAAGACCAAAATCAAACAAATAGCATGATTAAACACAAGACAAAAATGCATGAAAATGACAACACAATGCACACAAGCACCCCTAGGGTTTCACCCACTTGTTGCCTTAAAAAACATGGCCATGATATGCATGCTAGGTATCTTGGCAAAATCAAACAAAAATAAAAGATCATAGTCCCTCGATGACACTATCTTGGTTGCATATACAAAAATGATCTAGTCCCTCAAAAACTTGCTAAGATACTTGGCAACATTGCTATCATGGTCATACGATGACCCACACCCGTCCCGTTTAACATCCAAACACAAGGTTGTTTACCAAATGCAATGATAAAACAACAATGTCAAAAGGGTTAAAAATGTGTAGGAAAGACTTTTGAGTAGGTAGGTAGACAACTCCTAGTTACTTGATCAAATTTGCAAACATCCTTGTTATTTTCAAAAATACACAACACAATTTCAAAAACTATTTCCAAACAAACTTTCAAACATTGAAACACTTTTCAAAAGACAAACACCTTTGTATACATTCAAACAAGAATCATTACAAAGGTTGCCTAAACAAAGGCCTCTTTTCAAAATACTTTCAAAACCACACATAAAAGCACCATTTCAAACAATTGAAAAGCAAAAGCAAATGATCTAAACAAGTAACTAAGAGCCCATAGAAAACCATGGATGAAAAGGGTGCTAGCACCTTCCCTTTTCATAATCTACCCCCCGAACCCAAAAACAATCTCAAAGGTCTTTCCTGTGCTTTTTGACCTTTCCTTTGGATAAAATAAAAAGTCGATGGCGACTCTTGGTAAACCGAAACATTTGCGAACACAAACGCAAAACCTCAAGTCAGTTCTCCCACCACATCACACTATCAAAGTTGCCTTTCAAAATAATCTTAGTCCCTAAAGAAAAATGCTAAGTCATCTCACAACATTGTTATCATGGTTATACGATGACTCACGCCCGTCCCTTTTACATCCAAAGATAGGGTTATTTACCAAATCAATGGTAAGATAACAATGTCAAAGGAAAAAGGAAATGAATATGAAATACTTTTGAGTAGGTAGAATGTTCCTAGTTACTTGCTCAATTTCAAAACAAAAATATCCTTGCTATTTTCAAAACAAACACCAACACTTTCAAAAACATCTTTCAAACTTGAAAACATTTTCAAAATATCAAACACTTTATATACATTCTTACGAACGAGAATCATTACAAAGTTTGCCTAAACAATGACATCTTTACAAAATACTTTCAAAAACCACACATAGCACATTTTCAAACAAAAGCAAGTGATTTAGCAAGTAACTAAGAGCCCATGGAAAACCATGGATGAAAAGGATGCTAATACCTTCCCTTTTCATAATCTACCCCCCGAACTCGAGAAACAATCTCAAAGGTCTTTCCTATGCTTTTTCACCTTTCCTTTTGGATAAAAGAAAAGTCGGTGGCGACTCTTACTAACCGCAACATTTGTGATCAAATGCAAAACCCTCAAGTCAGTTCTCCCAATGTATCACATTTCTCATTATACACACACGTGGCAATATGAGTATAATGTACTGTATATATACGAACTGAAACAATAGGGTGCACAGTGTCTAAGCTTGATAACGAGGAAACCGTACAGCGGTGCAAGGAGCATTGTCGTTTCATGAAGGACGCAATTTACACTCGTCACTACCTAGCGGCAGCGCATTCCGAATACTATAACTCTCTTTGCCTCACCGATTCTGCACTCTGTACATTCGCCATCGGTGAACCTCTTTCCGTCTCCGATGATATCCCCGCCATTTTTGTCAACACATCTACAAAGAACATTAATCATCCTCCACATCCACCATCACCTCCTCCTCCTGCAGCGAATGTAACGACGACCTCCAAATTTCCTAATGTTTCTGAAACTCGTCACCGGAAACCGCCGCAAAAGCTTCCACATATTCTCTCTGAGTCTAGCATTTGTTCCACGCCTAGAAGCGAGTTTCCAAACTGGTTTATTCTAATAGCGCATCAAACTCTTTCCACAGCTTCTGAAACATCGTCCATTTGGAATTGGGAGAATTTTCATCCAACTCCGTCTCCGCCAACTTCCGAATACTTCCAGCAACGTTCTAAGCCGCCGAATCACAATCCAAAAGGTCCAAAATTTGAAGTTCCAGGATCTGATTCTCCACCAGAATCTTTTTACAATAAGTTCCACTCGAAAGTTCATCTTCAGAATCTTGAAATTAAATCATCAAAAGTTAGTTCTCAAAATCCACAACTACGGATCCGTATACGTCCAGATGCTGAAGATACCGCAAGCGAGAGATCCGATCCAGAACCAGATCGTTCGGAAACGAAACGGGAGGAGGTTCGGTGCAGTTATTGGGACGACTTTTACGACTCAACAAGCTCATTAGATAAGGAGGAAGTAATAGCTGGATTGAGATCATCAATGAAATCGGAGTCAGTATCCGACGACGGTGTTCCGGCGAAGGAAGACAAGAAGACCAGTGAGGAAGTGATTAAGGAAAAGGTTGTGATGAAGCATAAGGATTTAAAAGAGATTGTAGAGGCGATAAAAGAGAATTTTGTAAAAGTTGCGGTGGTCGTAGATAAGCTATCGGAGATGCTACAGATTAATAGGGTACAACTTATTGGAGTTTCAGTCGGTTGAAGAGTAAGATTTTATTTTGCGCAGGAAAAATTAAATACATTTTTTAAAAATATTAAAATTACGTTTAATAAGAAAATGATGATTTTAGTTTTATTTTTAAAATGATTGAATGCAGAAATAGTGTATCACTCGAGTAATTTATTGAGCATAGTGAATTTGAGTTGGACTTCAAAACTGTCATTGGCAGTTAAGTACCGCTTCGACGCCGATTCGCTTGAAAAACCGGACGATATGAAGAGCCTCTACTCCACTTTGGACCGACTTTTAACTTAGGAAAACAAACTCTGTGAGGAAGTGAAGATAAGTCTTCGTCGTTATCACAATTTTTTGTTTTTTGTTTTTATTATTTAAATTTTTTTTGGATGATGTAAAAATTTTGTACGGAGTGTAGTGGGTCTGAATCCGATAATAATGATATCTTGACTTGGACCAATATTTTTTGATACTTTTGGTGCATTGATTATTGTGTCCATAAACAATTTTTTTTTATTGTGCCTCTAGAAATTTTTATCGTTTTACTTTTAAACTTATTATTTGAACTATGTAGTGTCCAGTTACGATGTGTTTGGTTATCTAAATGAATATTCAAATATACCAAACGTGATTTCATTACTATAGCTTCGGTTTTAAATTAATGTAATAAGTATTCATCATATTCTTTAAGTTCAAACGTCAAGCATTGTGAACTGAAAAAAACTTTAAAGTACCAAGTTAGACAATTTTCATCCTATTTTATTCTATTTTTTTAAAATAAAAATTATAAATTTAGAAAAGAAAATTAAATTCAAGTTGACTCGTTATATGTCTATTGCATAATTGCGTGTCATCCGTCCATTATTTTGTCCGAGTCTTACGGTGAGTTTGTGAATTTTTTTATAATAATAATTTGGTATTAAAAAAATACATAAATAATTATATTTCAGGAAAAATTACGTAAATAATTATGTTTAAAAAAAATTTACAATGGAGGAGTCAACTGAATTGGCGCATACACCTAAATTTAAAGAGGAGACGTCAAGTGAGATGGCGCCTAGGTGCAAAATATTTGCTCTAAGTCATCTCAGATGGCGCCTAGGTGCAATTGATGTACAATTTCTTTTTTTGCTTTCTATTTTAAATACGGGATAATAGGTAAACGATATAGCTTCACGAAACCTCGATTTTTCATTAACAAAAAATGATTACATAATGAAAAAAACCATACAAATTAATTAGTGGTCCCTCGGAACTCGGTAACAACTTGTGGTTCCGCATCCGCATCCTTGCTATCTCGTGGTGGGTTTTTTCGAATTTTCGGTTGCGGCTGGGTCGATGGTCCAACGAAGTTAATGCGTTCAGGATTCATGAAATCTTCCAGATCATCATATCTGAAAGATCCGCTTTGATATAATTGGTTATCCATGCCCTCAAAGTTTGGTCGTCTTGGTGGGGGTGAGGAGGTTCCATGGATGGTCTATAGCACTGGTCGTCTGAGTAAGGGGTAAAAGGGAAATGAATCTTGGGGTGTTTGGTATTGCGACCGTTGGATGTTATGGTGATGTGGTGGTTGATGGTAAGTTAGGTCGGTTGAGTCATGTTCTTCGGGAAATCGCAAATCAGGGCTAAGGTGAGACGACGAGGGGCCCACATTGGTATATGGAGAAGACTGAAATTGTGTATGGGGTATGTGAGTGTATTGGTATTGCGATTGAGATTGGGGTTGGGTGTGGGGCATATGGGATATTGGTATTGAGGTGGTGATTGTGGTTGGGGTGTGAGGCATATGGGTGTATTCGTATTGAGGTGGTGATTGTGGTTGGGTGGTTGTGGATCTGTATCGTCGGAGTGATTAGTGAGAGGTTGATGTGTGTTGGGTTTGTTGTTGAGAATTTGAGGTTTGTGTCCATTGTGTTCCTGGGTCAACCAAATACCTCGGATGAGACACATGTATTTATGGGTTACTAACCGATATGTACCAAGCAAAATATTAATCTCGTGTCGCATATTATTCTGGTTGATGAAAACAGGGAATTGCAAGACATGTTGGTGACGCATATGCCACATCTTACACCATTCTAGAGCAAAATCTTTTCAATTAGTAAGACCCCATTGAGCGTCGACCCTTTTGAGATGCCAGAGAGACAAACAAGTTGGATCGCATGGTATCTCTTGATGCATTCTGAACTACATCTTGACACGGTCGCTGTGGTGCATTTTCACAACATTGAACCGTATGATTGCAGTCTTTGCAATCCAAACTGCTGCGTCCTCGGGGTTTGGTTCATAATCCAAACCCAAATATGGTCTTCAGATAAATTGTGGATAAAATTAAATCAGCATAATGAAAACGTAATAAATAAATAATTTTAAAATAGAAAAGTTCAAAGGTACGACGTACATCATCTAGGCCAATGTGATCTAATAGATTACGATATAGAGCGACATTGAATCTTGAATTCTTGCCGTAATTCATACCCGTCACGCAATACCTAAAGGAGTTGTAAAATAGTTTATTTTAAACATATATTTGACGAACGGATGAATAATAAATGATTTAAGTTCTTGACTTACTTTGTTGCGTATGGGAAAATGAATGTGTTGTTGTTGACGGGGTTTAGGGACTCCATTCTCCACCAACCTCAGGCTTGGAGTAAGAAATCGCATCCATAAAAAGTATATTTTTCCTTTGTTGCATTTTTACACAAAGAACTGTATAGATGGGCTAAAACAGCAGAACCTCAACTATATTTTCTTGTTTTTTCAAAGTTCCTAAGCAAACTTAAATACATAAAATTTATACTATTCCCTGTACTTTCGGGAAATAACAAGCTTTCAAATAGTATCATCATATAATTTCTATTTTTTATTACTCTTGCTAGTTGGGACGAATTTTCATTCAACTCAAGAGTCGGATAATGTTTTTTGAGTTCAGTTAGTAATATACCTTGGCCTCTAGCATCACCACCTTCTACCATATCTTTGCCCAACAATTTCTTGCATAGAGAATTGGGTTGTTGAACCGACATGTTAACCGCCTTACCATCGATAGAGAGATCCAATAACATGTACACATCCTCTAGTGTGACAGTACATTCACCTATTGGTAGATGAAATGTGTGTCTCGGGTCTCCACCTTTCCAACATTGCAAGTATAAACTTGGAATCAATCGTGCAGTTTGAGATTTTTATAACATTTCCAAAACCCACATATTCGAGATAGGGCACGATCAACGGGTCGGGAGCAATGTAGTTGTGTGGACGAATTATAAATCTTTTAGTATCCTAAATTCAAAATGTAAAAAGTGTAAGAGTCCATAAGATGACTAAATCAATAAATATTTTATAAAAAATATATTAGTATACAAGAATATTATTATACAACGGGTCGGGAGGCAGGCCTAGTTGTAGCATAGGTGGCAGCATATGTGGCAGGCTAGGTGGCAGTGTAGGTGGAGGCTAGGGGAAGGCTTTTCTACATGCATGTAATATAATTGGACATGTAGGGAGGGGCCATTTGACTTGGAGAATGAGTACAAAATTGAAAGGTGTCGCCATCTCAATTGGCAAATTAGTGGTGGCATAGGTTGCAGCGTATGTGGCAGGCTAGGTGTAGGCTAGGGGAGTACTTTTTGTATGCATGTAATATGATTGGACATGTAGGCGCCTCCTGACCCGTTGTATACTAATATTCTTGTATACTAATATATTTTTTATAAAATTATTATTGATTTAGTCATCTTATGGACTCTTACACTTTTTTACATTTTGATTTAGGATACTAAAAGATTTAGAATTCGTTCATACAACTACATTGCTCGCGACCCGTTGATCGTGCCATATCTCGAATATGCGGGTTTTGGAAATGTTATAAAAATATCAAATTGCATGATTGATTCCAAGTTTATACTTGCAATGCTGGAAATGTGGAGACCCGAGACACACACATTTCATCTACCAATAGGTGAATGTACCGTCACACTAGAGGATGTGTGCATGTTATTGGGTCTCCCTATTGATGGTAAGGCGGTTAACGGGTCAGTTCAACAGCCAATTTTCTATGCGAGGAATTGTTGGGCAAAGATATGGTAGAAGGTGGTGGTGGTGCTATAGGCCAAGGTATATTACTAACTGAACTCAAAAAACATTATGCGACTCTTGAGTTGAATGAAAATCCGTCCGAACTAGCAAGAGTAATAAAAGCTAGAAAATATATAATGGAACTATTTGGAAGCTTGTTATTTCCCGAAAGTACAGGGAATGGTGTAAATTTTATGTATTTAAGTTTGTTTAAGAACTTTGAAAAAACAAGAAAGTGTAGTTGGGGTTCTGCTATTTTAGCCCATCTATACAGTTTTTTGTGTAAAAATGCAACAAATGAAAAATGTACTTTTTATGGATGTGCTTTCTTACTCCAAGCCTGGGGTTGGTGGAGAATGTAGTCCCTAAACCCCATCAACAACAACACATTTATTTTCCCATACGCAACAAAGTAAGTCAAGAACTTAAATAATTTATTACTCACCCGTTCGCCAAATATATGTTTAAAATAAACAATTTTACAATTCCTTTACGTACTGCGTGACGGGTATGAATTACGGCAAGAATCCAAGATTCAATGTCGCTCTATATCGTAATCTATTAGATCATCTTGGCTCAGATGATGTACATCGTACCTTTGAACTTTTCTACTTTTAAATTATTTATTTATTATGTTTTCATTATGCTGATTTAATTTATCCACAGTTTATCTGAAGACCACATTTGGGTTTGAACCATGAACCAAACCCCGAGGATATAGCAGTTTGGACTGCAAAGACTGCAATCATACGGTTCAACATTGTAGAGATGCGGTCGTGTCAAGATGCAGTTCGGAATGCATCAAGAGATATCATGCGATCCAACTTGTTTGTCTCCCTAGCATCTCAAAAGGATCGACGTCCAATGGGGTCTTACTAATTGAAAATATTTTGCTCTAGAATAACGTAAGATGTGGCATAGGCGTCACCAACATGTCTTACAATTCCCTGTTTTTCTCAACCAGAATAATATGCGACACACATATCAATATTTTGCTTGGTACAGATCGGTTAGTAACCCAGAAATGCATGTGTCTCATCTGAGGTATTTGGTTGACCCAAGAACACAATGGACACAAACC